TTCACTTTGTCTTTTTAATAGATAACACCTACATTACCATCTCTTCTCACTATCTTTCCTTCTTTTTCATACTCTCTCTTTTTGTTGACTTTCCATTGGGTTGGTGCATAATTATCAGGCGTTTTTCTAGGCGAGTTGTTTGTTAATAAAAATTGTTTTGTTTACTTTTTTTAATAAAAATATTATTTTATTTTCAGGTTATAAAAACGCGTGTTGATAATCTTACGCTCCGGAATAATCATTTAAAAATATTATTGTTGAATTGTTATGTTTCTTTTTTCATAATAAATATTATTTAAAAAACGCCTGATAATTATGCACCAACCCAATATATATACTTCATTCCTTTTTCTTTATCTTTTTTGATTTCTCTTTCACTTCTTTCTTTCTTTCTCTTTCTTCTTTTCTTTCTTTTTTCTTTGTTTCTTTTCTCGTTGTTTTTTTGCTTCTTTCTTACTTTTCTCCCTCTTTTACTATGTTCTTTCATGCTTGGTTTCTTGTAGCTTTCTCTTTTCAGTTTTCAGTATTTATTTTTCTCTTTCTTTTATCTTTGTCTCTCTTTAATTCTTTAATTCTTTTCCATTTTCATTTCCAAGCTTCTTTCTTCTCATTTTTTTTATTCCCATTATTTTTTCCATCATTATTGCATTTCGTTTTCTTTCTTTCTTTTCCCATCCTCAACCAAAATCTGAAAAACAGAAGAAAAACCAATCATTCGCAAGTTTAAACATTGTAAATTCCGCTAACAAACATTTGCCGCGAGTCCAGTGAACAATTGTTGTCAGTTTTCACAACTGTTTCTATCCCCTCAGTCTTGACTTCCTCGCTAACATAATTTTAGCAAACAATAAGACGTAAGTCGTTACTGACTTCAATATGGCGGTCGACTGCCTGTTTAGGTTTGTCTTTTCAAACAAAATTTGAAGTTATTCAATGTCAAACGGTATTTAATAATTTTAAGAAATTTGGATTTGACAAAATGACTGAAAAAGAGAGAGATGTTGAAGAGTATATATACTTACTAACTACATATATTTACTACTGAACAGAAAACATCAAAGCACTCTTTCATGACATTAATCCATTTAATATCCTACGATTTCTTAGAGAGATCAAACTGTATTTCAAAGTATAACAAAACTACAACTTAAAACATACGTATCACCGCGTCTAGTAATTATGTCCACACAAACATGTATATGCATAAAAGCTGAGTATCATCTACCATGGATTCAGTTGTGAAAGCAGAATAACATATATCATATTTTTATTACTTCAAAGCTGCGAAGAAAATTCAGTTTCGGGATTAACTGACCCCTAAGGAGTTGATATGCTCTTAAACATACAAAGAAAAAAAAACTTAAATTTTTTCCCCCTAAGGGTAAAAATTAGACAACAATTAATAGTAAGTGTTCAGTTATGTTGGGTTTCTGTTGAACGACTTTATTCTTCAAACAATAAATTACAATTACTTTTTATTCAGTTACATATTCACCATTATTTACAATGAATTGTTGTCATTTATCAGTCAGTAAAGTCACTGAGACACAAGGAGTCACTGGGCGTAGAAGAGTGAGAAAAAAAAGCGTAAAATTTCCTCCTTGGAGGAGTTTCTAACGCAGGCTTATCATCTCTCAGTTGCATCTCTGTCCTTGGGCAGAGTGCGCTCAGGAGCTTCTCTGTCAAGGGACAGAGGAGCAACTGAGAAAATTATACTGAGATTATACAGCGCCCTCCCATTGCACCAGAGGGAGGGATCGATGCTCGCACCGAGGCCAGCGCAACCGACGGTTGCGGGGGCTGTGGGAAATTTTTGTACTTGTCTCGGGCGTACGCGCTCGGGTCCCCACCTAAAAAAAAGACCTTGTGTCCCATCTCGTCCAAGTGGGGGTAAGGAGTTAATGCCGAGTGAGAAACAGGAAGATTGCTAAAGAGACAGAACAAAAGAAGAGAAATCAACGGGACCGTAGAAAGTGACTGACATTGGGTTTACATTTTTGCAGAGTAAGTTAGCTGGAAAACGTGGATCCAGAAGGGAGTTCCACAAGCGAGGGTGGCAATCTTACAGCGGTGGGAAAGTGACTGGAGCTGAGACGCTAGCTCAGGGTCAATAATAATCCTTGCTTGTTTTTTTATCCAGGAGTTCTAGATGAGTAGCAGGATAACCAGACCATATGCGGCAGCAATATTCTAAGCATGGACGAATGGTAGACTTATAGATAGACTCTGGAGAGAAGAATTGTCCAACATGAACATGTAAACAAACCTTCTTAAGAGCTGACTTAACAATGGATTCAGTTTTTGAGTAAAATTCCGCAGGTTTTGATGTAAAAATATTTTTCGACGAACTCTTAAATATGTTCTTTATTATCCCAGCCAATCTCCATTCAATTGTTTTGCAAATAAAAGTAATAATCGGTTGGCGGAATGCCAGATGAAGATACCGGATGACGTAGAGAAGACTCACTGAATTCTATATTTTTTCCCGTGTTATTATTCTTGTATACGGCTTTGTGTTGTCATGAAGGAAAACATTGACGAGCACAGGGGGGAAGGGCAAAATTTTATGGATATTGTACAGCTATTGAACGTATAAATGTGCATTTAGTGTTTCATTGTGTTTTAAGAACTTTAAATGAATAATATCCTGACAATTCGACCACACGCACATCATTAACTTTGTTCCATGTTGCTTTTCGGGTCGGTTATGGAGATTTATCCTGGCCAATTCACTGCCCTTTCCGTTAAAAATTATAACCCGTTTTTCATTAACCTACTATGATATATTTAAGGAACTCAGCAAAAGGGATGACCCCAAAATTCAAATTACAAATCGGAGATACCAAAATCAAACGAACATAAAATTTTAAATATCTGGAAACTTTTCTAACAGAGAACGGAATGTGTGACATTTAAATCAGAAGATGCATTCTGATAGCCAATGATGCATTCCAAAAGTTAAGCAAGACACGAAAAACAAGAAAAGATCTGTACTCCTATATGACAGTGAATGCTGGACAATCTCCTTATAGATGAAGAAGAGACTTGAACCAACAGAAATATGGTTCTACAGAAGGATAATGAGGATACCATGAAACGAACATGTGAGATTTTAGAGAAAATGTAAACAAAAAGGAAACTTATAATTAACATCAGCAAGGGACAGTTGAAATTTCTGGAGCACATAATGAGTAAGGAAGGCTTGGAAAATCTGATACGCACAGGGCAGATTGAGGACAAGAGAGACAGAGGAAAACACCGCATAACATATTTGATACGCTTATGAACTGGATGGCGGAACAGGATTTAGGAGAAATAACGAAAATACAAAATTTATTAAGAGCTACAAAGGACAGGAAATTGTGGAGAACCATGATCGCCTACGTCCTGAGGAGACACATTAAGAATAGGTTAGGTTGAGACATTCATCGTTACAATTGGTTCACGAAATAGAAATTACTTATGTGTCAAATTAATGTAATAATTATTATGTAATAATATTTCACGGTACTAGTTCACTATTAATTGCCAAAAACAAATGCTAATTATCTAAAGAAATAAAATAAATTGATAATTCTAATATATTTGGAATCAGTCATTTTCTAAAATTACGTATCAGATATTTTCAAGCAGAAAATAAGTCACTTTCCCACTTTAGTGACGTGGTTTCCCGCTGTCTTTTCTATAAATATTTTCATGGCGGTTGTTCTAACGAGCTCTTTTCCTTGTTATCTCAGCCGCATTAATTTAAGCATAATACTAGTTTGGCTATTAGGTCCCATTTTTTTTACTGTTGAAATAGATGTAACCGTAAGTTCTGTTCTAATAGTTTCTTTTCTTGCCATTGTCACCCGTGGAAATCTCTTCCGTTGTCTTGCTTCCCTGCTAACTACAATCTTCAAAAGTTTAACCGCAACATCAATCGCAATCCTCTCTTTTCCTGAAATCTGTTCTTTTATTGTCCTTTCTCATCACTAAAATTTTATCATTCTCTTCCCCTCCCTGTAACCCTTTGTGTCTTAGTGGCATTTATCGTCTTGTTTGGAGAGAATTGATTAAAAAGAAAATAAAAGCATAATAAATTTAAAACACACTATAGCACACTTCTGGAGGATTTAAGAAAGAAAGAGTTGTTGCTCTTTTTTACGGATTCTATTTCAAGAGTAACAAACAAAATAAAAAAAATGACTCGGTAAAATTCGGACTGTATTTCGGATTGAGATGCTTCAGAAAACACTACTGCTTGGGACAGCCACATTACAAAAAAAATAGTTTTATTGATGTAGAGAGGTGAATGTATGACAAGAACCATAGTCATTTGTCGTAAGCCGCTTCTGGTCGTTAAATTACGACATAAGATGGCTGCTGACTTTTAACAATCTTCTGGATAATCGCTCTCTAGTTTGATTATTCGTAGCTATTGAAATCTATCAAACTTTTGTTTTACAGACATTGTATCTGCACTTTTTGTCAAACCATTTGTATACAGTTTTCCTTCTCTTACACTGATGGTCAACCACGGTGAGAGAGCGCGTCTCTTCTGCTATTTAACCCGTAGTTGAGGTGGGAAAAGTGATAGACTAGTATCTTCCCCATGGTTATTTATACGAAAATATGTTTGACCGGACTTTGAACTCGGCTCACCGATATCTCGTTCGGAACCGCTAAACATTGCATTACCTGAATAAGTAACAATAATTGTGTCATAACTAATTACATCAGAGTTAAGCTATTTTCTTGTCTTTTAACTTTAACGAAATTAGTTATAATACATTTATTCTGAAGTCATTAAATCAAAGTTAACAGAAAAAAACACAACAAAAGTCGGCTACGCAGAGAAAGACAAAAAGTTAATTGCATTTGGTAAATTAATTCAGAAGTTGCATAAAAAATAGATGTGATTGGGTAGGAGCGGCGAACCACTGGAAACTGAGCAAACAGCTTTGATTTAAATATGAACGGAAAATAAAATAAAGATTCTTGGATTGCAAAAAAGTAAA